AAGGTGCTAAATTTACATTATGTGAAAGTCTCTCTGTAGCTTTACTAAGCCCTAGTGTAGATATTTTCTCTGGAAGTCTATCTACAATTACTGCTTTAACACGTTTTTTTCTCATTGCCCAACCTGACAGTTACATAAACAGTGTCATACAATTGAGCCCTTTTATCTGAGAGAAAACCAGATAATTTTAGAGTTGTAGGATCTCCCATCTGTACTTTCATCCCATTAAGACATTTACGTTTTTGGAAAGTACGCTGGGATCCCTGGTCTAATAATGCAGTTACAGTTTTTTGATTTATGCCTTTTATCATCAATTTTTACCTGTAACACAGGTAAGGCTACTTCAGCAAAACCATCATTATTAACATTAGCAGCAATTTCTACATTAGCTACTGTTGTGTCAGGATTGTCAACATTATCATTATTATCAACATTATCATATAGACCTTTACACATGACTATATGGTGTCTTCCTTTGTGACATTGATAACAGTTGTTTAATTTGGCATGACAATCCTTTACATTGTGATTACCTAGACACCTGATACATCTGTCAAGTTCCTCCAATCTTTCAATTTTTTATCATTCCATGAATTGTATGCTTTGGGCAATTCTCAGAAAAAATGAGTACCCTCGCGAAGGGACAATCTCTCTTTTCTCTGACGGGTTTCTTATTAACTGGGCTACTCTTAGGAGGGTACATATTCTTCTTACCTTGTGGAGAATCATTATTTCTGATTCCTGCCACTTGATACGCACCTATGCAACTCTTTTTAGGAAATGATGACTTGTTTGCTCTAAATTCCATGTGTTTGTCATTTACATTAATTTCCTCATTTTCACCAATGGTGCAATGAATTAAATTCAACTTAATTAATAACACTGTTTATGTACTTAATTACGCACTTTATAAAGGTAAATATTAGAACTTACCTTGAATAAATCCTAGCTACTTGAGTTTAAAGAAAATTACATGTAAGGAAATTATAATATAATCTTTAAATATACATTAATAATTTTAGCTACACTTGAGCTTAACAATTACACATGTAAGGAAATTATAATATAAATTTTAAATGCATTAACATAAATCCTAGCTACACCTGAGCTTAGCAATTACACATGTAAGGAAATTATAATATAAATTTTAAATGCATTAATATGAATCCTAGCCAGACTTGACTTATCCTTGCCAGACTAGGCTTAGCAAATTTAGTATTGTAATAATTATAATCCACTACACATTAAGTAAATTTGTGGACCTAACATCCACCTCCTCCTCACATTATATATATTATTATTAAGTAATTAATTCACTAAATAATGACTTCACTAATTACATCAAGTTCAATCAAGGACCAATGGGCAACTAATGTGGAAAATTAAATTTTCCTGGATGTGACTCATAAGATACATACCAGTAAATGGTAACAAAGATAATTTTTCCTACTTGCAGAGGCAAGTAGGAATTTTAGGACACCTAGGTCGCAAAAAATGTCCCCCCTTTGATACTTACGATAATCTATCTCTCTACAAGTCACTCTGGACATATATTAATTTCAAATGAAATATACATCACCAGGAATTCTGGTAAAAACATTAATATAAATGTGTGGACTATATGTTAAAATTAATAAATGATTACAGAAGGACAATTTATAATCATAAGACTCACCAATTTGTCTGGAGATTACGGTGTGTCATAGCCCCCTGCCTAAATATGAAGAAAATACTGGCCAGAATCTCAACATAAATAGACAACGACTTAGCTGGGGTTCCTAAGCTGTCCTGTCCATCTACTTAATGCTCACGTTATGCAGGACTGCAAATCCAACAATTTTGACTCCTATTTGGGAAGTTTCAACCACAATTTAACTTCAAGAGCGACGAAATTTATGCACATTTCATTAGCATGCCTGTGCCATATTCAAAAACAATGGCGTCTCTTCCCTGCTCGTCAGCGCAGGCGCAGAGCTTCCCGGTTGGTTCACTTCTTTAAAATACACTTTAGAGCAATAATAATGTATTAATCAGGCATATTTACATTATAAAAAATATACAGCATTATTTTGGGAAATTATTTTCCACAATTACATTGAGATTGTGAAATTACAATAATGACTTACAGTGTGTAGAGAGCCACTATCATGCCTAGGCATTATGGGCAGGCTTAAATAAATGGCTTAGAGACTACTTAATGCTAAAGAAATTGTACATCTATTTTTGTTTATAGCAGACAGTAATTTTATTCTAATTACAATATTTTTAAAACATGAATACTGAAATTAATATTAGGGGAATAAAAACATTGTGAGTTGTTGAAAGTAGTTTACAGTATGAGAATGTTACAATTGTGTGTAAGACAGTATTGGTTTGGGTAGGTATTTATACTACAATGTAGTACATTAATAATGTATGAACTTTGGGCGTCTAGATTTGAATTTTTAAGATTTAGGTAATTGGGAGATTTTTTGTAAAGTTAAATATTGAGTATTTACTTTAGGGTGAGTAGGTGGTTTTTGAGAAAGCCTTAAAATTTGGTGTTCGGGAACCTGGTTACTTTAGTATTCACTGGTAATTAATTCCAAATTTTGGGGCCCTTTGTGTGCATAGAATTTTTACGCAGTGTGACATGGACGAAAGGTACATCATAAAAGATCTGTGTTTTGTGTTGTGGTCGTGTGTCCTGTTAAGGTTGGTGAGGAAAAAGTTTGAGTGGAGGGTTATGTTGAGTGTATTGTTCTGTGTATGTAGTAGCCCCATGAATAAGTATAGATGTTCTTAATGGTGAACAGTTTTGGGACTTTTGAATTTGGGGGGAGAAATGCTGTCGGGAGGGGAAATTTTGTTATCATTCTTATGGCAGCCTTTTCCCTGGGTTCTTAGGGGTTTTAGGTGATTTAATGGTGTTGATTCCCATTCAAAAATTCCATATATGAGATAAGTTAGATGGATGAATGATACAGTGCAAGGACAGCTGATTGTGGAACATAGAACCGTATCTTTGACAGTATGCCCACTGTCTTCGAGATTTTCTTGGAAATTTGTTGTATGTGTGTCTGGAATTTTAGGCTACTGTCAATGTGGTTTCGTAGGAATTTTCCCTCTGTGAGTTTTGTGATTTTGTGATCCGTTAGGGTTTATGTTAAGTGGAACATTGCAGCTCAGTTTTCCAAATTAATGAAATAGGTTTTGTCAGTATTGAGGGTAAGTTTATTTTTCATCATCCAGGTAGATATTTTCTGCAATTCGGCATTAACAGTTGGCCAGTATGATTGAGTTTGGGTGAAAGAAGACGTATGTTGTGTCGTCTGCAAATAATATGGGTTTGAGTAGCCCTGATGCTTTTGGTTGGTCATTGATGAAAATAAGAAAGAGGGGGTGGGCCAAGGACATTTCCCTTATGGATACCGACTGTGATTGGTTGAGTGGAAGAGTTTGCTCCATTCGTGTGCACATATTGGTTTTCTGTTACTTTAGGTATTTTGAGAGAGTGCCCTCTTATACCATTGTGTGTTAATTTTAATGTGCAGCAGATCATGGTCGACTGTATCAAAAGCTTAAAATAAATCAATGAAGTTTCCCAGCGGGGCTTCTTTCTTCTGGAGAGCAGTTTTATATTAGTTCTAGTATGTGTATATCATCATTTTACTTTTATTAGTCCTAAATTCAAACTAACAGGGGTTTAGAATGTTGTGTGAACGAGGGAGGAATAGATTTTGAGAGTAGAGGTAGGTTAGATATTGGTCTATAGTTATTCAAGTCAGTTTGAAACACCTCCTTTGTGGATCGGGTAACCCTCGCTATTTGAGAATTGATGGGAAGGTGGAGGATTTTGATGGATTTGTTAAAGAGTGTTGCAATAATTGGGTGAAAGTACTTCTGATGCTTTTTTGTACATAAGAAAGGGGGTAAGTTATTTATGTCCCCCTTGCCTTGTTTTTAAGGGTGTTGAGATGAGCGAGACTTCTGTTGGGTTGGGTTTGGGGCTAGGAATAGTGTATTCGTGTAGGTACCCATGAGGTAGTCTGATGGATGGGTGTTTGAGCGTGGGATTTTGCTCGCTAGAAATTTTTTCCTATGGTTTAAGATAACATTGAGTCTGTTTTCTGTTTCAATTGGTGGGAGTTGGGGTTCGTCTGATTTGTTAATATGATTGTTTTGTTTTTTTGGGTATCTTTTTAGTTACTAGAATTTTGGATATGGTTTTCCAGGTCTAGTTATTTGACCATTCTATACTGTTTTCATATAGGTGCTTTTGTTAAAAGGATTTAAGGATGCTGGGTGTTAGCCAGGGACTGTTCAAGCCTTAACTGTGATCTGGATAGTATTTTTTTTAATTTACCACAATGGCCATACAGTGAAGCTGGGTAGGTCTGGCTTACAATAATTTACTCCTTCTCTCATTTTAATAAGCTCTCCCTGTGGGAAAAAATACTTCCCCCTTCATGTTGCCGCTACGGAAAAATTTATCCTATTATCTTCCATGGACAATGATTTTCCACCGCAAGTGGAAAGGACAGGGAAACGGAAATAGTTTTTAAACCAATCTGGGATGCAGGTGAGGTGATTGCAATCACTGGACAAGATGTAAAGATTGGAACCAGGAGAAGGGAAACACCCAGAATAGACATCAAAGTATGAAACCTGGTACAACAAATGCACTGGAAAGTGCACAACCTCCTCATTAAACAAGGAAATCAACAGTAAACATACTTGTCTAATAAATCCTACAAAAGAGCATAAAAATTACAAATGAGGTTATAAGCTTTCTTCTGACAAACACTACAAGATGTTTATATAATTTCACAAGACAAGAAATATGAAAGAGATTAATTTAATCATGCATTATCAGTGTAAATTCAGGAATTGTTCAACATCCTTAATATTTTTTCCAGGGCCGTACTGCCCTTTCCCTTACAAACAGGTCTGGACGAGTGCTTCCACCTGAGTACACACAGACTGACTGGAACAATGCACGCCAGCACTGTCAGGGGAAAGATGGGAGACTTGGCTTCACCCAAAAACCTCTATGCTCTCAAGACTTTCATTATAGACGAAACCGGTTTGTATAAATAGTTTTCTATTGTGGTACTTTAAATATGTTTTCCTATACCGACGTGCTCAGTCAATTGTAGGTGACCTGACACATTAATGATGACGCCTACTTTTTAGGACCATCTTTCATCCATTACCGGGTTCATCAGCACCCAACTATCCCTTTCCAAATTTCCATTTTTCCACATGGTGTTTTTCTCCCGCCTCTGATATTGTTTTTCCTTCTTTTTGACAAAAGGGAAGTCGGTGGTTGTCCTCAATCGTGAGGATTGCCTCTAATGAGCTGAAACCTCGCTGACTGACACATGCACCTACACTCCTCTTGTTTTCAACCTTATTGATCTTATCATGAGAACTTTCAGTCATAATCTTTGTACTGTCTCTAATCTCTGTCCTTCTGACTTTGATCTTGTACAACGTTTCCCTGTTATCTTTCCCTCTATACTTTATTTCTATGATCTTAAAATTCACAAACCAGGCGTTCCTTTGCCCCAATTATTTCCACTCAAGGCTCCGCCTCTTATCCTCTTGCATATTTGTTACTAAAACTATCATTTGTTTTCTTGACTTTTTCACCCCCGTCACTCTCAAGATTTCATCGTATATGTTCGGCCACATCAACCTGAAAAGTTCTTAGTCTCGAAGCTGAGTCTCTCGTTACTCTCGTTACTCCATCCTATGGAGAGGGAGCATGGACACGGGGGTCGTCCCTCAGTTACTAAAAACAACAGACATAGCCCCACTCCACAAAGGGGGCAGTAAAGCAACAGCAAAGAACTACAGACCAATAGCACTAACATCCCATATCATAAAAATCTTTGAAAGGGTCCTAAGAAGCAAGATCACCACCCATCTAGAAACCCATCAGTTACACAACCCAGGGCAACATGGGTTTAGAACAGGTCGCTCCTGTCTGTCTCAACTACTGGATCACTACGACAAGGTCCTAAATGCACTAGAAGACAAAAAGAATGCAGATGTAATATATACAGACTTTTCAAAAGCCTTCGACAAGTGTGACCATGGCGTAATAGCGCACAAAATGCGCGCTAAAGGAATAACAGGAAAAGTTGGTCGATGGATCTATAATTTCCTCACTAACAGAACCCAGAGAGTAGTCGTCAACAGAGTAAAGTCCGAGGCAGCTACGGTGAAAAGCTCTGTTCCACAAGGCACAGTACTAGCCCCATCTTGTTCCTCATCCTCATAATCCGACATAGACAAGGATGTCAGCCACAGCACCGTGTCTTCCTTTGCAGATGACAACCCGAATCGCATGACAGTGTCTTCCATTGCAGACACTGCAAGGCTCCAGGCGGACATCAACCAAATCTTTCAGTGGGCTGCAGAAAACAATATGAAGTTCAACGATGAGAAATTTCAATTACTCAGATATGAAACATGAGGAAATTAAAAACTTTCATCAGAGTACAAACAAATTCTTTCTGGCCACAAAAAAAGAGCGAAACACCAACGTCAAAGACCTGGGAGTGATTATGTCGGGGATCTCACCTTCAAGGACCATAACATTGTATCAATCGCATCGCTAGAAAAATGACAGGATGGATAATGAGAACCTTCAAAACTAGGGAGGCCAAGCCCATGATGACACCTTCAGGTCACTTGTTCTATCTAGGCTGGAATATTGCTGCCTCTAACAGCACCTTTCAAGGCAGGTGAAATTGCCGACCTAGAAAATGACAGAGAACTTTAACGGCGCGCATAACGGGGATAAAACACCTCAATTACTGGGAGCGCTTGAGGTTTCTAAACCTGTATTCCCTGGAACGCAGGAGGAGAGATACATGATTATATACACCTGGAAAATCCTAGAGGGACTAGTACCGAACTTGCACACGAAAATCACTCACTACGAAGCAAAAGACTTGGCAGACGATGCACCATCCCCCCAATGAAAAGCAGGAGTGTCACTAGCACGTTAAGAGACCATACAATAAGTGTCAGGGGACCGAGACTGTTCAACTGCCTCCCAGCACACATAAGGGGGATTACCAACAGACCCCTGGCAGTCTTCAAGCTGGCACTGGACAAGCACCTAAAGGCAGTTCCTGATCAGCCGGGCTGTGGCTCGTACGTTGGTTTGCGTGCAGCCAGCAGCAACAGCCTGGTTGATCAGGCGCTGATCCACCAGGAGGCCTGGTCACAGACCGGGCCGCGGGGGCGTTGACCCCCGAAACTCTCTCCAGGTAAACTCCAGGTAAACTCTCTATAGTAATGTTGCTGTGTGTGACAAGTTGTATAGCAGTGGCATTCAGTATCAACGAGATGATGAGTTAGACACATGTGCAAGTAAAGATACCTAGATCCTGCACATGTTTCTAATTCATCATGTTATCGTGATGTAAATAGTTTAGAAAAGTGACAAGTTGAAAACTGAAACACTTATGCAACATTTGTAAATCTTGTCGGTACTGAATACCGTTGATATACAACTTGTCGGACACAGCAACATCATAGAATCTTGATACAGAGGACATTACAAAGTTCTACTTGTTAACTCCTGGTTCATGACCAACTACCACTGGAGAGTTCCTCCTACCAGTGATAATGCCTTCGTCTGCTGCATGTCCTCTGACTCCAGCATCAATCTTCTTGCCTGTGCTTCAGATTCTTAAAGATTATGGTGCTCATCACCTGCCCTAGGCTGAGGACCTGACTACCATATCTTCCGCTATTTGCTGTATATGTTTCTATTATGTCCATATATTGTATTGATAAAGCCACAAGATGGCAAAAAGTTTACAAGATACATAGATTTTGCACGTGTCTCATTCATCATATTATCTGTATTGAATATCATTGATATTCAACTTGGCCCCTGATAGTTGCTGTGACATGCTAAGAGTATGTTATATTATATACGGCATATGTCACACACCCATATAGGCTGCCTCCAGACCAGCGAACCAGGTGCCAGGGGCCCCACCAAAGCTGTGAAGCGATGTGGTACACTCGTAACACAGCCTTGGCAGACTTTCCTTCACAGCTGGTTGCTACGGTTCTCACTGTGTCTTGTGCTGGCATTTTTGATAAAGTATTTACTCTGATGCCTTTCTGCTTGTTACTAAGTAGTTATCGTGCCACAGCAAGGTGTGCAGGCCAATAGTCTGTACCTGTGTTCGTGCCACAGCAAGGTGTGCAGGCCAATAGTCTGTACCTGTGTTCGTGCCACAGCAAGGTGTGCAGGCCAATAGTCTGTACCTGTGTTCGTAACACCTGCCATATAGTGATATTTAGACATTTAAACACAAAAACATTAAAAAATATATATACTCAATGTTACGGAATACCAAAAACTGTCAAGTATCACTTCTGCGTCATTGCTACGACGTTATTATGCATAAAATAAAATATCTCATTTGTAGATGAATGGTTCAGAGAACCGACATGTTGATAAATTAGACACATGTGTCTAATTTATCAAAATATCTCATAACATAACTTAGAAAAATAGTAGAAACAATCTTTTAATTAAACTGCAAAAAATTGACAGAATTATGAAGTATTTTTTCACATCACTTAAATAAAAAATGAAATTTTTGTATATTTTTTTCTACCATAATAGTGGTCCACTTCCCTGAAGTCTCACACCTGTATTTCCAGGTCAGAATTGCCATTAATAAATCCCTCTTATCCTTGGAACAGGAATTAACTCATATGAAACACTGCAGACGATCCCAGTGTTCGTGGGCGGCGCAGACGAAGGGGAAAACAGACAGTTTAAGTGGGTGAATGGAGAAGCCATTAACAGCAGCAACTGGGCACCTGGTGAACCCAACAACAAACACAATTCTGAATTTTGTGTCGAGATTTTTCTTCACTCACACCCATCACTTAACGATGAATCTTGTGTGTCGGAGCGGCAATTCGTGTGTCAATATCACCCACCTAAGACAAACTAATAACAAAAGGGCATATATACCTAGAAATGTGGCTACAGAGAGCCAGAAGTTAACACTTGAGGGCGAGATGACGGCAGGACGAGTGGCTACATATTTTCAAGATGAAGTGAAGTTTTATAAATGAATTTTAGTGAATCATTTACATAATTCTGTATTCAAACAATTTTTACAATTATGAATTAGATCAATATAATAGCCCCATTAGTATAATTATAGTCTCCACCAAGTAACCTTTAATTTTCCTAAGAGTTCTTAAAGTGTGATTGAATGTTCCCGATATTTTCATAATAAGTGTAATAAACTCTAGCTTTCTCTCATGCTTGTATAAATATATTATTTCTTATATTATATTGTCCCATGTTGTGCAATGTGTTAATTAAGGGCAGTTTAAGTGGTAACAGTTACTCTAGTGAGTGATGAGAAGGAAGCAGATATAACGTTTGTACATGTATGTTTGGGGGTCTGAAATGGACTAATCTACTTCACAATATTCCTTATGGGAACAAATTCGGTCAGTACTGGCACCTGAACATACTTCTGGAGTGAAAAAATATCGTTAACCGGGGGTCCACTGTATAGCTTTCTCTCATGCTTGTATAAATATATTATTTCTTATATTATACTGTCCCTTGTTGTGCAATGTGTTAATTAAGAGCAGTTTAAGTGGTAACAGTTACTCTAGTCAGTGATGAGAAGGAAGCAGATATAACGTGATCAGTACCTATTTACTGACTGAACTGTACTGTGATGACCGGCTCTGAGTGGGGTGGGAGTGGGCTGGTAGGTCTGTGTGGAGACGGAGTGGGCTGGCAGGTCTGTGTGGAGTGGGGGTGGGCTGGCAGCACTGTGTGGAGTGGGAGTGGGCTGGCAGGTCTGTCTGGAGTGAGAGTGGGCTAGCATGTTTCTATGGAGAGAGAGAGTGGGCTAGCAGGTCTGTCTGGAGAGGGGGTGGACTGGCAGTGCTTTGTGGAGTGGGAGTGGGATGGCAGGTCTGTGTGGAGTGTGAGTGAATAGAGAAGTCTGTGTGGAGTTGGAGTGGGCTTGCAGTTCTGTGTTGAGTGGGAGTGGGCTGGCAGGTCTTTGTGGAGTGGGAGTGGGTTGGCAGGTCTGAGTGGAGTGGTACTGGGCTGGCAGGTGTGCGTGGAGTAAGAGTGGGCTGGAAGATGTGGGTGGAGTGCGAGTGGGCTGGCAGGTCTGTCTGGAGTGGGAGTGGGCTGGCAGGTCTGTCTGGAGTGAAAGTGGGCTAGCATGTTTCTCTGGAGAGAGAGTGGGCTAGCAGGTCTGTCTGGAGAAGGCGTGGAATGGCAGGTCTGTGTGGAGTGGGAGTGGGATGGCAGGTCTGTGTGGAGTGGGAGTAAGCTGGGAGGTCAGTGAGGAGTTGGAGTGGGCTGGCAGATCTGTGTGGAGTAGGACTGGGCTGGCAGGTCTGTGTGCAGTGGGAGTGTATTGGTAGGTCTCTGCGGAGTGGGAGTGGATTGGTAGGTCTCTGCGGAGTGGGAGTGGATTGGTAGGTCTGTGAGGAGTGGGAGTGGGCTGGCAGGTCTGTATGGAGTGGGAGTTTTTTTTTATATTTTATTTAAAAAAACCAGTATACATACAATTAACATACATTGAGAACATACATCAACGATTAACAATCAGGTTATATGAAGGAAAAACACAATCAAAACTTTCACATCAGAAGAGTATTAGATCAATATCCTGGACTAACTTAACCACTCACCGCATATATACAACTCAAAAAACCCAAAATTAAAACTGAACAAAACACTACAATGTCCAAAACTAGTTATCCAGTGCATTACTGGAAATGCAAATAATAACATAAGTGATAATATAAATGATAAACAAATATATGGAAAACCCTGAAAAAAAACGAATGCAAAAGATTTACCTACAACTGTATCATAAGCATCGTATAACAATCAGTTGTATGTATATTATATTATATGTAATATATATATATATATATATATATATATATATATATATATATATATATAATATATATATATATATATATATATATATATATATATATATATATATATTAATATAAAAACCTCATGTGACAAAAGAACAGGTACAGGAATCATAATTACTCCACGAGTTATACAAAAGTTTTTAGTCCAAGAGGTAGGTACATATTTATGACATGGAATCAAGTGTAATTATTATAATCAAAAGGAAGCGCTAAACCACAAGGGAATCAGTTGTAAGTTCCTAACTACCACGTACAATCAGTATTAACACCCATATGTTTATGGGCCATAGGGTTGAATGTGGTATTACTTCGACTTCCCCCCCTTGTCGAAATACTGTTCCATTTCACACCATACACATGTTACCTATCATCAAATCCATTGAAAACTTTAAAAAGGAATCTAGAGGTAACTACTAAACATGATAAAATCGTAAGTAGTTGAAACAATTTTGTCATCCTTCAGAAATTTAACGACAAACCTCATGGGGCGGTCGTTTCACAAAGGAGACCCAAAAGACAATATTTCTCTTGCACTCCAATTAGGATGCTTGAAAATCACCCCTAAAAAGACAATTAAAAGCTATACTAATGATGCTGACATCACCACGACGACTGTGTGCTACTTGTCAGGAACAATACCTACAATGACACTGGGAAAGACCCACTTAGACTTCGCTAGGTCACCCAAAAAAAAATAGCAAAGAAATACAAACTCGGCCATGGCCGGGAACTGGCCCCAGTTTCAAAAAAGAAAAAAAATTCACCGAACAATGACGTTTTGTCCGTTCTTGCTAGACGTAATGCCCAGAAAGTAAAAAAATCAAGATCTCAGTCGCACTCACTTTACATCCAAACACCCTCAAGGAATCGTAACTTACCATAACTACAAACACGCAACTCAGTAAACTCCCGCTTCCCCCTAAATATCCAAACCCATACCTAGGGTGTTACCATGGGATGAGTCCAACCCCTCGCTGCCTTACCCACCTCTCAGTTGCAGTAACCACTGTACTGTAAGACTCTTATAGCTTGCAGGGAAGACGGTACCCCACCTCCCACCGTAAAGGAGTCTGTTCCTACAAGATGTTCTATAATACCCACGGCAATCCCCTTTAAACCCCTAACTGCTCCCTCAGTTTCCCTCATACCCCATGAGATATATAGGAAATCAGCCCCCACATACAGTATTGCTCTTCTTACCTCCCTTGACACTCCGCTAACTTCCAAGGTTAAGGCCCGTGGAGTCGAGATACTTCTCCCACTGAGAAACCCTAAAACCCTACCCAAGCACTTACGAACTTCTTCCAATGTTTCACAAAAATAAACCGTATGAAACGCAGTTTCTTCCAGACCACAACTTAAACAATTCGCCTCCCTTCCCAAAACCCCATCCTTCTTAAAACTGATTTCGAAGCTAAAAACCCATGATGAATCTGTACACTAATTCGCGAACTCTCGGTGCTAACTTAAGCTTGCAAAAACCGTCCCATATTTCCCCCCAATTATACAGCGGAAAAACAGACACCCCCTGCACAATTTCCCTATGACAACATCTCCGCACCATCTGCCCCGCCCTAATCCTTTGAACTTTTTTTAAAACTTCAACAACAGACGCAACATGTCCTCACACTCTATTAATCCTCTGCTACTCCACCATTGTGAAATATCTACCATTACCCGACCCACCCGGGTTCCTCTCTCCCCGCCCTCCCTAAGGAACCGCTGCTTTACATATAGAGCCTTCGCCCGTGGCCCCAATGCCAAGAGACCTAAACCTCCAAGACGTACGTGTGTCATGACAACCTCCCTACTCAACCAAGCTCTCCCATAACCCCATACATACTGTAAACCCTTCTCTGCAGCTCCTGAATATCCATGTCCCATAAGGGGTTAACCTCAGCCACTCCCCATACCTTGCTGTAAACAAGAGAGTTAACCACCACTGCCCTTTGTTGCAAGGAGACATCCCCAGCTCTTAAACCTCTGAGATGGTCTAAGGCCTTTTTACCACCAATTCAGAATTTACCCTTCGACCCTCCATCTCTTCCGCCATTTTACACGATCCCACACATTTTAAGTTGCTCCACAACTGACCACCCATACCTTTTCACCCCCCCCCCCAAACCCACGTACCCACCTTCAATAATTTTTGATTTTTGCTCTGTTGACACACATACCAGTTGCTGCCCCAAAAAATTCAACAACCCTGCCTACGATCTGCAAGTCTTCCTCCCCTTTTAACAAAATCGTGGTGTCATCCACATATCTGACTACGCACGCTGCACGATTATTACCCAGTACCCCACCTCCCAAACTGCCATCCACCAGTTCATAAATGGATTTTGCACACAGGCAAAGAGCAGCTGAGAGAGGGGCATCCTTGCCTCAAACCCCGTTCCATGCATACAGGTTGCCCTAACTTACCATTCACCTGTACTCTTACCATTGCAGAGGCATACAAAGTGTCAACCCATCGTACTATTCCCTCCCCAAAACCCTGCTTCAATAAAATAAGCCTTAATAAATCTCTGTCAACACAGTCATAAGCATTTTGCCAGTCAAGCCCGAGGACACCCCCCCTTGATATTCCCCTAAAAACTCCCTAATACGCCTATGTCCTTCCCTCATACTCCTACCTGGTATGCCTAGCTGTCCCCTATGAATAACCGATTCCATGACTTTCCTCATCCTGTTACCTAGGGCCTTTGCGAATATTTTATAGTCTGAACATATTAGAGAGATAGCCCTATATGCACTCAGACCCCTCCCCCTCCTCCCTTTATGGGCACCAACACCACTACCCCTGTACTCTGTGATGTACCCAACCTCCTCTCCGTAAGCATGCAATTCAATACTTCAACCAAGTATTGCTTAATGTTTCCCCAATGCATCCTATAAAATTCATTTGATATGCCATCTATGCCTGGTGCTTTACCTTTACTCATCCTAAAAATCGCCTCTTCGACCTCCTCCACACGAATCCTACCCTCTAGTACCCTCTGATCCCTTTCACTTATGACCTTTCTGAATAATTTCCCCCCCCAGCAGACCACCCTCATGAACCTCCCCTGCTCTACGTCGGATTTTTTCCTCAAACTAAAGATCAGTGTAAAAACTCATGCTGTCTGTACTAGAGAGCAACTGACCAGGGTTGTAACCCAAACCCAAAACCCGGGGCATACTTCCAAACGCAGAAGGGATGTTACTTGTTGTCTAAACCCTAAATTTATGCAGACAC